CGACGGGTCATTGACGCATCAAATCGTCGGAAGTCAAATAAAATATTTAGCAGTGTTTCCTCTACACCCACCCATAATTGCGATAGTTTCGAAGGTGCTGGATTTTGTACACAATCTGACCTTTCAATCATGTCCCAAAATGTGTTCGATAAGATTTCGTGTCTGGTGACTTTGGTGATTAAAACATTCACTGGAATTCTACAAGGATGCATCTTAAACCAATCGTAAATGATTTTGGCCGGTGACAGGGTGCATGATAACAATTGAAATTCCCCACGTTGTTTGGGTACATGAAGTCCATTGATTGCTACAAATGTGGCCTCCAAGTAACTGAATATAACCAATTCCAATCAATGAATGGTTCAATTTAACTAGAGAAACCAGCGCATACCCTGAAAAAACAGACCATATCTTTATGGAACCACAAACTGCTTACATAGTGCGCCTTATTGACAATTTAAATGCATGGCCTCGTAAAGTCTGTGCCACATTTGAATCTTATCAACTGGAATCGTGACTCATCTGAACAGGCAATGCTTATACTGTCATACAGGTCTAACCGATATGTTCACGAGCTCTCAGAGGTGCTGCAACTGATGGCTTGTCTTTCGTATAGGCACTACATTTGTAAGTAAAGATGTGTTGCTAACAAAAGCAAAGAGCCGTTCTTCTGACATGTCCCATCGACACCAAATTTCGTTGCAATGTCCTAAGACACACATTTATTTTTGCTGTCATTTGACGCTTTGTTGATTCTTCTGAAACATTACCTACTCTACACGGATGTTGCTGAACTCTGTCATTAAGTAGACGATCAACCACTGAATTGTCATGTTGAAGGTAATGCCCTTTATTTTCGGTTCTTCAGTGTATTAAACTATCTAAGGCAAGCTGTTCATTATCGATTTATTGCATAAGCGATTCTTTTTCCCAATGAAAGATTAGAGGAACGATAATTAAGACTAATGACCTATTTATCATTAAGACTGACTTCTGATCATAACTTTGGCCTTGAATATTTCCTGAACTATTGGAGTGGAGTGCATAAAATTTTGAATATGAGAGTATTATAACACAATGACTCCAAATACATAAATATTTTGGTTTCAGAAAGATTTCGAACACACGACTCCGAGGGAAACAATCCGCTCCAAAACTAGCTCCACCCCCCACAATTCCATATCGATTTAAGGAGTTTTAACACCGGCAGATATAACGTGATCTAACCCCGCTAAATGTCGGGTCTTTGTGGAATCAGAACTCAAATTTGCTAATCGATTGGAACAACACTTGGACCATAACCATTCCGCGAATGCGTCCTTGCTTTTCTTAATGAGATCTTAAAAAATTAGCTGAGAAAAGTTAGGTTTTGTTAAATATCTAATATTTAAAGAGTGACACAAACCTTTTCAATCGATCTAGAAAATTGCCAACTTTAATTTTTAAATTTGCAAATTAGTACTTGAAAAAATTATCTATACGTTCTTAAACTCAGTTGAAAATGAAATTTCCCGATAACAGAAGATTTCAATGATCTAGACGAAGAAACAATAAAACTTGAAAAAAAAGGGTTAAAAATCCTCATTTTTCAGTTTAAACTATGTTAAATATAGAAGAATAAAACACTTTACCATCGAATACCAGTCCGATCTTGGGTGTCTTGTTAATGCAAATCTCAAAAGTGCCATATTTCACATCGCGCTCGACAACATCGAATTCAATTGTCAGCGAGACCTGGTCGGCTTCAAAAACTTCTCCTATCAGATGATCCAGTTGACTTACAGTTAATCCAACGATGTTTTGACCATTTACTGCCCAAACTCTGTCGCCTTTGAGGAGCGTTCCAATTCTAAATAAATATATGATAAAAGTAAAAAGACAGTTTCTAATTAAAGATGTTACCGTGAAATTTTTTAACTTGTGAAATGTAGCAGAACTTTAACTTGACTTGTGAAATGTAGCAGGCACTCTTAAGCCAGCCATCACAGGACTGCATCATAGGCCGAATATACAAGAGTCATTCGATATTTAAGCAGATAAACATTTTTAGTGAAGGAAAATCTTAATGCAAGCAATCAAAACTTTCATAAGTGTTAGTTGGCAACCTTGCAAAGAGTTATTCAGCTTTTAGATTTATATCTACATAAGCATAACCACTGAAGTCGTAATTACGATGGTGTCTGCACGAAGAAAATACTTTTCAAAAATAGAGTTCTGTATTCCAATATTTACTTCCGGAAAGTGTAAAATTATCAGAAATATACTCTAGGACGAACAACGAATTCGGCAGTAGTTGCATGAACAGTGCGAGTTTTAACACGTGGTTGGAAGATTTCAGAAGTAGTCAACGAGAGCCGAGTGTCCATGGTCCGATTTTCTGCGATTATATTAATCCTTTCGCTACCGGAGGAAGAAAAAAATAAGTGCTTCTCTGGACCTGCGGCTTCTTACCGCGGAGTGTCACGCTGTGTCCAGACGATTTTAGATATTAAGCCTAATTCGCGAAAAAAATTCCTCTAAAATCTAAGCCCGAAAAAATTCCTTTTACATAAAAATCATATCTTAAGAAAATACAAAATATATTTACATTTGTTACATAAATCTCATGGTGTAATGATGTACCATTATATAGAATATTAAGATAGAAAAAATGTTTGTGTGAATCTTATTTTGCTGTACGTTATTTTTTTTTAAAAAATTTCAATGCATAGTCCAACGTCACATGACTTACATACATATTTTGTCATATTTTATGTCACCCGTGTTTACCAAAGACAGTAAACCCCTTGGGGAAGGAAAAGATCACTAAGGCGCCTCGGGGTCATGATGCCTGCACGAACCTGAAGAAGGCAAGTCCCTGAGGTCTCCTGATATAATCCCCATGGGCAGGGTGCCCGGCTATACCCCCAGAGGCTGGGTACCCATTTTAGTCGCCTCTTACGACATGCATGAGCTACAGTGGGATTATTCTGTCATTCCCGGTCACCACAGTAATCCCGTAATGTGAATAGATTCTATTGAACACCAGAATCCACGTATAACTATATTTCTTTATATGAAAACAAACTCGGGGGTTGAATGAGAAAGTATTATTGGCTCTAGAGAAATCTAGTCATGCTGAGCCCTATCATGTATACCTGTGATCTAGACGTAAGCAAAAAGGTAAAAATTGGTTGACAAGAAGAGTCACACGTAGAGAGGAATTTAAAAGGTACCATGGGGTATGTCACCCGTGATAATAAAATACATTAAATACTCTAAGGAAAACATCATTAGAGTTCACCTCCTATCATGATTCCCATATTTACTATAAAAAGATAAGCCCTGAGAGGATCCACGTGTAAATGGATCGATTTATTAACGTCGTATAAAGGAAAAAAAAACACGATAACTATTGTCGATTGACCTCGTACTTTCGAATCACTATCAAATGACGAAAATGATATCAGAGTCAATACCTTCTCCAAATTTCTCCACCAGGTCTATGGGAGGATTTGAAACCTGATATATTTAATGTGCAACGGCCTCACTTCCAGGTAGATCTTTAGTGAGATTAGGACTTGAACCCTCGACTCGACGGAAACAAAGCCATGAATAATAGGCAAAAGCGTCCACAGGTCAACGTGTGGAGCACCTATTAATCAGTATGATGGTGTTTGGATTTACCAATACTTGAACTTGTGGCTCACATAAGCATCGCCGGTCATGATTTGGCGACCATGACCATTAAGCTATCGAGGCACTCCGTAGCATCAGATTTTAAAATATTGATTGTTATTTAACTGTAGCAATTTTAAGTAGCACTAGGACTATTGCCGATGGGCCTTGTAATTTTTTAGTTGCAGTTAAGTTACGAAACAACATTCAAGCTGGCATCCAACTTTCTTAACTTCCACACCATACCAAAGGGAGAATTTCGATCCTTGCCAGATCTAACTTCTGTCATTCCCTCTGCAGGAGAGATATTAGGTGCATGAGGACTCGTATTCTCACTGGATTAAAATATCACCACTTAACGGACAAGGCAATTGTTTCCGTAGCCGAAATTAAAGTATATCCTTAAAAAAAAATCTGAAAAACTCGAAGGAAAGATATTAAGCATTAACTTGAGTTATTAGTAGTATATGCGGTTAATGTCAGAACTAAGTCATTGAATTTTTTTTTCGTAAAAATCGAATCCACAGCTTAGGTTTGGTTTGGCTTTATTAACATCGCACTACAAGCAACACGAGGACTATGGTGACGAGAGCTATTGGTCTTAAGTGGCATCAAGGCTCAAATTCACGACTCGACGAAAAACGTCGGCCACGAGCCCGTGACCATGAACACTAGGCTACCACGACCAACTCCAGTTTAGGAGCAGAAAATGTAACACGAGAACTTTGCTGACAAAAAGTAGTTTGAGATATACAGGGTGTCCGAAACCAATGTTCCTAATTCCAACAATCGATCAAAAATCTATTAGGGATATCTTGGTGATTTTGGGCAAAAATCGGTGCTTATTTCTTTAATTGTGGTGACAATTTTTATTTTTCGCCTATGATGCTCGAACTCTTTCAGTGAGACGAGGAACGGAAAACTGGCGTCACTTCAAGAGAAAAATTGTACTCTTGACGTCAGTCTTTCAGATAAAGCGACATTTCATACGAGCAACAGGTAAATATACGTGACGGTAAACATTTACCTAAATACGTTGCAAATTTGAGGAATACCACAAATGCAGCATTTACAACCGTTATCTTCAAGCATTCTGGATACAATTTTCCCTTACCAATGGGAAAGATGTGATGACTTAACAACTTCGTCACTAAAATCTCCAGACGTCACTCCGCTGTATTTTAAAAGTGCTGAAGGGGGGGGGAGAGTTTTACGTCAAAAGCAAAGTCTACTCAAGGATGATCAGTGAAGTTGAAAACCTTCGTGCCTTAATAACCGCAGCTATTGCAGCTGTGATTGCAGAAATATTACATCGGACATAGCTGGAACTGGGCTACTGCCTACACCAATACTATACTGAAAACACCAGTTCTCGTACGATTACGAAGTTTAGCATCATCGGGTGTGGTCAGTATTAGGGAGGGTGACCACCTGGGAACACAGTGTGCCATTAGCCTTATTTCTGCGTCCCACCATCACCTATGTATGCCCAGTCTGGGGGCAGACAGCTCAAATTCACACGAGCAAACTAGTCGTTCAAAGAAATATAATTAGAATGATTTGCAGAGCAAGATACTTTATGAGGAATGAAGACCTCAGAACTGCAATTAATTTCACCACAACTCGCCCCAAAAATAGACACTAAATTTGCAATAAACTTGGCAATATTCAAAATTCATCCCTCCAAAAAATCGAAAGAAATTATATATTTCTGATAACACTAACAGCAACTTTCACAGGCCGAGAGAACTCTTAATTCCTTAAAAACTCTCCCTTCGCCATTTGTGGAAATCCCTCCCATATCCCCTGCTGCTGGAAGTTTGACGGGTTTCAATCTCTCTCCTAGCCGTAGAAAAACTCAAAAAAATTTTCTGTCTTTTTCATCTTCCCAACAAATTAGAACACGCCCTGTAGTTCTTAGCTAAACTCAGAGGAAGGTAACGCTCCCAAATGTCTCTCTTATGAACAGAGCTACTGTCTCCTGACTGGACGTCTCAGTTTTACTTGATCGCCCCCAACCGTAGATTAAAACCTAAACGTAAATCCCAGTTAAAGTGTATACTTTTCAAGTGTAATTTTTTCATTTCTTGCGAAGAAACTATTAAAATAGATCTGGATTAGGGTTGATAAACTGTCTCTTTTAATTAAAGCAATTGGCATTTTAACTTTGATGCTCTTTACTATTGCACTGGGCCCATGGAAAGAAAGTAAAGTTGGACTTGAAATTTTCAGATGGGAGAGAAAATCCCAGCTGGGATAAGCGCTCCATGATAACATCCACTATGAACTGGACTACCGGTTGGATATACTTGGGGCTACTGAGACAGTCCGCGTGGAAGTGCACTGAATTTTAAATTAAACCTTTGGGAGTATCTAATTTAACAGATTTCTTATGCCTTTTGAACTTTCTATTAAGTATAGTAACCTCTCCAAATTAGGGACATTTGATTCGTACACCTTATATTTCAAACAAATATTAGTTAAGTATCAATGTATTTAAATCGATGAGATTAAGGTCAAGGGATGCTCTAATGTGTATACGAAGCGTAAAGCATGTCTTGTAGTTAAGTTATTATCAGTTAATTCATTCACTGAAGCACCTTACTTGAAAGCTGCACCCTGTGCACTGACGGCTGTGATACGAGGCACACGTGGCACATTTACTTCAGATGGACTAGGAAATCCAATCACAAGTCCGTAACCTTTTCCTTCGTTTTTTAGTTTCACCTCTACCATACTTGATTGTACTATAAATAAACAATGAAATTTATTTTATAACAAACTATATATAATAACAGAAGATTTATTATCTAAATTACAACAGAGGTTAAGTTATTGTAAGTAATTAGCCTGTTCTAGCGAGTAATAATGAATTAATACACAAGAACCGAATTTGGCTTTGCTGCGCTAAACGTATGTTTATGAGATTGTGACGTTGGGCTGTTCACAATCTTCTCTTCATTAATCTCGAGAACTTTTTAGTAATTCGAATTGCATACAATTACAACTCCTTGACAATCAAATGAAACGTGATAAAAAAATTAGTCGAGTTTTGGAATTAAAGATAATGATATATAAGTGAAATAGAATCGAAAGAAAAAGAAATATAGATGTTGAAGATTGGAGTGAATTATTAAAATTAATAGTTTGTATTGAAAATGGTTGAAAGTGACTTCTGAGCAGATCAATGAGAGTTGAATCTGCTATAATCGAACAGTGCTTGAATCAGAATGATGTGGTAAGCTAAGACTTTACTATTTAAACGTAAACTATGATTATCAGAAGAGGGATTTGAGAGAGAGATACCTTACATATATTCTTTATAGATAATAATTTTGCCCAACTTTTGTGTGCAATTCGAGTTTTGAATTTATTAACTGTTTAATTAGACTGTAGAGTTAAATAATGAAGGAATTACGTCAGAAAATCACAAATTTTTTTAATAAAACGAGTGAGTGACGGCGGAGTTTAACAGCACAAGAGCCAAATACGGGCATGCCGCGCCAAACAGTGTGTAAATGTAGCATAAACGTTTGGAAAAATCAGGGGGAAAAGTAAAATATTGGTTGGCATGATAGACTAAAGTAGAAAAAGATTGCTAGGGTATTTAGGGGGCGAGTCGCTTGTGTTCACCAAACAGTAAACCCATTGGGATTTTTAAACTGAATTAAAATAACTGGATAAAAAAATAATGATTGATAAAAACGATGTAGAAGGATAAAGTAACAATCTTAGATGTGATGCAAGATGCAAATTTTATTACACAAATATAGGTGGTGGTGGGGTCTCCCATCAAGGCAAACATGCTTAGAATATAATTAAAAAGTGAAACGATGTTAACCTTTGCAAAACCTGTTTAAGGTTCTATTTTAACACAAAACAAATCGAACTTCTTAATTTACTGATCAGAATAAAATTTACATACAAGGCATATATTAAAATATTTTGAAAATTTCTTAGTAATAATGCTAATTATGACACGATATAGTCTGAACCAGATTGATAGATGAATTTTTCAGGGTTTTGAATACAAATTTTCATTAATGTACGTGATATGCTACTTGATAATATTTTCAGTGGTACAGGAACTAAAACTACCAAAAAAATTCTCTTTATAGATATTTATGTAATAGTGTTTAGTTGAACTAACAAAATATTTTATTTTAAATAAATTTTCATTCTTTAAAATTTTGAATAACCCAAACATTTCAAACAGAATTAATACTCATGTCGTGAATTTTATATTTCGCATGTTTTAAATGAAATATGTGCTTAAATTAATTATATTATTTCCTAGCAATAAAAGTAGATATATATAGTGGGTGATTTAATTTTTTTACTTACTTTTAAAAATTTTTGAAGTATTTGCTTGTTTAGGATATGAAAAAGAATAAAAATTGGACTTGTCACTTAACCTTTCGATGTTATTTTGAACGTTCGCTATATCGGACATGGTAAAAATTGGTTGATTAGTATTTGGTGTCATATTCATATTATCTGTTTGATTTCCTTTTAGTTCGATATTCTCGGGTAGATTTGCACAACATGGAAGTTCTTGAGATGTTGAAGGACAATTTTTATGCAAATGACTTGGAATACTTGAATACTTTTGAATATTATGCTGAAATTCCTCTTTGCTGACGGAAATTACTTCAGCTGATTTACAGTTCTGTTTCGGAACTTTCAACAGCTCCTTTCCCTCGTGAATTTTACTCTGAACATTGTAGTTGTAATTTTCTCTGCTGTCGCTTTCTTCATGGTCATGAACATTTTCAATCGGTGAAGCAGGCTGTAAGATAGAAGAAGGATCCGGCGAATTATTAGGAACTCTATAGGATGATGAGACAAAACTGCCAGTGATACTACCTTGATTGAACTCAGGGCTCCGAATTTGTTTTTGAATATAAAATGCGCTTTGCTCAGTTGTATTCAAATGAACATATTTGTCTTCCTGAAATTTGATTGAATTCTCTGCGCTACCTTCATCTGGTACATTTATTATTTTTGAAGGAGCAGAATTAATCTGAAAACATGAAGGTCTTTTGCTCGGGTCCCAGTTACGTTTATATATGTCGGATTTCTTATGCGATGGACACGAAGAAACATTGTTTCTCTCAGTCTCAAGTTCAGCTTGACATGTCGATTGCTTTCGTTTTCTGCACTCTTTACACGGTATTCTCATTGTAGATATATCCCGAATAAGATTATTTGTCATGAATAAAACGTCTGCACTTCTATCGTCTAGGGAAATAATCAGTAATATTTCCTGAGCTTTGAAAATGGCTAGCATGCAAGCTTCATAGCATTCTTGACAATTTAGGTCTATTTTACAGAGTTTTGAAGTAAACATTTTCAAATAACTCTCCGATATCATCTTCCTGAGATGTAATTCGATTAAGTTTTCTGCTAATTCTTGAACTGGATGCTTGTCAGATGCGAATTCAAGATCACTTCTTGAATAAGACGTATTTAATAAATTTCCGTTATAACACTTACTTCCACCATGGCGGCACGAAATGTTAGCGTTTTTTACTAAATGCATGGTAGTAAACCGAACTGAGTCTTTCGTCTTGGTACACAAGGCTTTTAGGTACTTTAATTTCCCCAATTCAATTTCAACGAAATTCTGTTCGGGATTATTTTTCATCTCGGCAACATTCGAAGTTCTTGTTTGATAGTAAGTTCTACTATTGTCTAAAAATTTCATAAAATGTTGCAACTTTGTAACATTCTGAACGACTTCCCGTAGTAAACAAATATTTTCCATTTGAAAGTCATAAAAATTCTGATTTTTTTCTGTTATTAAAGGTTCATTTTTATCAGAATTCGATCGGTCTGAACTCATTTGGCAATCGAAAGAAATTAAAGAGCTGATGCTTGGCGGTACCATTTGATCTTCTGAAGTTGAACAAGGAAACGGCTTGTTGATGTTTGATGCTTCGGGTTCTTTGCTCCCTGAAAATCAATAATTATAGATAAAATCAAAAAAATATCAAAAATAAAATTTCATAGCAACTATTTATCTCTATTTTGGTATATAAGATATGTTATTTCTTACATTTAGTTATTTCTGCATGATTTTGCAATGTAGAACTGCAAGCACTTGCAAAGCATTCAACAACTTTAGAAATTCACTATCGTTAAAAAAAACTTATGCACAATAATGTAATTTTATTTGCACCTCTTAATTAAAAGAAAGTTATTCCGCCAGTTATTACTAAATATTCATAGGTTTTATTTGTAGACGTTTGGATTTTCTCTATTGTCAAGTATAATCCATGTTATATATATGAAAGCAATCCAAATTCAAAAGATATGTATTTCTTTTAAGTTCTTTATGCGACGAATGTATATTTTATTTCAATTTTCATTAAATGTACATTGAAGCTATAAAATAATACATTTTTTAATATTTTCATTTCTGTATCTCTTCAGAAGTAATTTGGTTT